GATGTACTGTTGCGTGTGCAGTCAGTCACTTTCCAGCTGTTAGAGAGTTGACTTGGTACAATCACCAGGGGAACTGAAGTCCATATGTTCCCCTTGTTGATTCTTTAACTTCTGAAATTCTGACGAACATCTCCAACTTAAGTCTGGTTATTTGCATGCGCTTGAGAATGTGGACCAGATGTGGATCAGGTTCCTTATCTGGTTCTTGACATTAAGTTTGTTAGATCATCAAAACATAAAATAAGGGCACTTATAACCTATCAATTTCCCCCTTTTTATGATGATAAACTTATAATTGAAAATCCTACGAAGAACCGCAAAGAACCAGACAGTGAATCAGAAAGGTTGTATTCCCCTTTAGTTAGTGCACATCATTATTCAATTATTCAATTATGCATAAATTCTTCCCCCTTTTGGCATCACAAAAAGAATAAAACCAAGTAAAAGCATAAAGAAGTCCAGCGTAGTTAACTCATGCCATTTGTGTGCACAGAACATGATAGAAAACAGAGACAAAAGAATAATTGTATACACGGCAAAAAAGGAAAAAGCTTGCATAAACCAGTTTGGATTTTACAATGGAATCAGATTCAATGTTACCATCCACAATTCAAAAACAAAACAAAAACAAGTACCAATAACAAAGACATCATCAGAAACATTCATAAGAGACGAACCCTGAAAAACTGGACACTGAAGGGGACACTACTTAGGGGACACTGGAGGAAGAGTGCTTAGAGGAAGGGACAAGGGATTTAAGGACAAGATCCATGCGAGCATTCGTGGACGTGTGCTCATTGAGAAGTCTTTCTATCAGGTCCTCCACTTGTTTCCTGAGCTCAGCATTCTCCTTAGTCAGGCGGGCAACCTCTGAGCTGTGAGAACTACCGGAACCAGGTGCCTCTTGTAGCTGATTGTGCTAACTCTTAAGAATTATGTTCCTTGCATTTAACTTCCTAATCTCCTCTGTAGCACTATTCTGAGAATGTATCAGTTGAGAGATAGTAAAGGTGCTTCCAACTCCTCCGACCTTGTCAATACACTCACACTCCTAAAAAGTGGTGTTGGACAAAGTTTGCTTTTTAGTGCCCACTTTGGCCTGTCCCAGAGATACCTTAAAGAACTCGAAGACCTTTGTGAGAAGAAACCCATAAGGTAGCCCATGGTTTCCATCTTTAAAGTCTGTCACTTTTTGCATATGCTCAATCATTATCCCAGGCATATTGATGGTGGTGAAGCCATCCGAGGCTTCCATAAGGATCAGGTCAGCTTTGGACGTAATAGATCTCCTCTCAGCACGGGGAAGCAACACTTTGTTAACCATCTCAAAGAGCAACTGATATACTGGAAGGAGGGCCTTCTTATGCACTCGTTCCCCCTGCTTGATTGCCTTGTCCTTAACTTTGGCATTTCTTAAATTGGAAGAGCATGCGCCTTGAACAGATGACAACCCTTCAGCAGGAACACCCAGAACTGACCCCAACAAGGCAAAATCCATCACTATGTCAACCCCATTCACCAATACACAGTTGTGATCATCTTCGACTTTGAAGAAGTCGGCATAGAAGCTCCACACTTCCTCCTCATACACTTTTGGAACATCATTTATAAACAAATGAGTCCATTGTTGAAAATCACAAATTTCCACTAACTGTAGCATCCCGGCAAGCTCCATAATGTCAGGGGCAAAAGTGCAGCCCCATAGTACCTTCTGATTTCTCAACTTTCCTTTCCCAAAACTTTGGGATTCTTCAACCTTTGATTTCTTGGAGGAACCAGGTTCCTCATCAACATCCATTTTTCTCTTCACTGACTTGCGAGTAGACTTTCCCTACTCTACTGACTTTTCAGGCACATGCTCACCAGAATCTTCCACGAATTCATCATCAAATTTTCCACCGCTCTCTTTCACTGTCTTTTCACCAGATATTTCCACAAACCTTTCACTAAAAACAGCATCAGCACTCTTGGTTGGACTCTCAACACTTACATAAATGTTCTTTTTGGATTTGGAGAGAGAGTGCTTCTGCTTTAAGGGCTTGTGAGTCAAGGAACTAGGTTCCTCTTCTACTTCTTCATCCACATTGACAACAGGAACAACCTTTTCAAGTACTACTTTGCCATCCTTCACCAACTTTTTCCTTCTTTGACTCCGTTGACTTTTCTTAAGAGCAGACTCAAGATCCCCATTCTTTTGCAACCTTGTAGTGGGTCGCTTAGGAGTTGGCTCAGGAGTTACAACTGGCTTACTCGTAGCCCTGATAAAGCTAGCAATCACCAAATCGTCTAAATCTTCTTCACTATCAGACCGCATCTGAGGCATCACCATAGATAGGGGCTAAGCATAAAAATAGGGAGAGGGCGCAGGATCAATACTGACCTGAGGAGATGACCCCTGAGCTGGATCCTCTGTGGAGGGATCAGGTCCATCATTAGGGACCCAAGAAGTATCATCCTGTGCCGAGTTTTCAACTGGCACAAGCTCTCTCCCATCTACTATGGCCTAAGGCTCTTCCCCCTGAGGCTCAGACCCCTCTATACCTTCCTCAACAAATGCCCCTTCAGCAACTATGGAAAGCATGTTTTCTATTGCCTCTTTTTCTTGTGGTTCCATGGAAATCTCAGCAGAGGGAGGAGTGTTATCTTTAGACTCAAGACCTATCATGGTTGTATCAGCATTGTCAGGACCAGCCGCTTGGTCTTTACTTGAGTTCTCTTCCATAGCGAGATTAGAGATTTCCTGATTTCCCTCTTCGACCATGTTACCTTATTCACCTTGCTTTTACGGCGAGACTGGAGGAGTGCTGGTAGCCACAAACCTTTTCGGAGTCGAGGTTTTGTGACTCCAATGAGAACCAGAACTTGAGCGGGTAGGTGAGGAGACTGAGTGTGGGGGAGACTCGACCCTAGGGTTTTTCAGATTGGTGGTTGTGTTTAGTGAGGAGTCTACTATTGGAGTTTCAACTGATGTGGACTCAATGGAGGTGTCACTGAGAACACTGGGGTTTTCTTGATTCTCAGTCATGGTGGACTTTACTGGAGAGATTAGTGGTTTGAGAAGAGAGAAGGAGAGGTGAAAATTTTGAAGTTTGATGTGAGGATTATGAAACGACGGTAGTTTTTTGGGAGGCAGGTCCCTCATCAACATGTGAAACATTTCATTTCAAAAGACGCAAAGGAAAGCAACTGACACACTGATAACATGGCATTGTTTTTATCCGTTCAAAATTATGTATGAGAACAAAGAAGCTACTAACCTATGTCAGGAGAACCAGGTTCCCTGACTTCTCCTGACAGGTCTTGCAAGTGTGAGCTTAACCCTTTTTACCAGCATACACTGCATCAGTTGCTCTATAATCATCATGCGTGTCTACCTGTAATGGTATAGAAATGAGTTAGACTTTTCCAAAAAATACTTTTAGATAATTTTACCTGTACATTTCTTTCAGAGCCAATCATTGGGAACCAGGTTCTTAGTTGGGTTTTATCAACCCCAGTGCCAGGCGATTTCTTTTAAAATATTCTCTGCTCAGAGCTTTGGTGAAGATGTCTGCAATCTGATCTTCAGTGTTGTAAAACTTCATACAGATAAGCCTTTTTTCAACATTGTCTCTGAGGAAATGATGACGTACTTCAATGTGCTTGGTCCTCTTATGTTGGACTGGATTTTTGGCCATGTTGAGTGTACTTGTATTGTCACACAATAGGGGCACACAATTAGAGAATACGTTAAAGTCTTCCAACTGCTGTTTGATCCACAGCAATTAAGCACAACAAGAGGCAGCTGCTACATATTCCGCTTCTGCAGTTTAGAGTGCCACCGAGTTTTGCCTCCTTGTACCCTATGGGATTAGGCAAGAACCCAGGAAATGTGCAATTCTAGACGTGTTTTTCCTGTCCGCCAGATATCCTGCATAATCAGCATCAGCATACCCAATAAGATCAAATCTGTCACATGAGGGATAGTAGAGAACCACGTCCTGCATTCCTTTGAGATATCTCAATATTCTCTTGGCAGACTTTAGATGAGATTCCTTTGGATTGGATTGAAACCTTACAAGGCCCACGCTGAACACAATATCTGGTCTGCTTGCAGTGAGATACAAGAGTGACCCTATGATCCCTCTATACCTGGTCTGATTTACAGGAGAACCAGGTTCATCCATGTCTAGACGAGTAATTGTGGCAATGAGAGTGTCAATAACTTTTGATGTTTCCATGTCAAACCTTTTTAGCAGCTCCTTGATGTACTTTTGCTGACTTATCATTGTTCTCTTTTGAGATTGCTTCACTTGAAGTCCCAGGAAGAAATTTAATTCTCCCATCATACTCATCTCAAACTCACTCCACATGAGTTTTGCAAATTCTTCACAAAGAGAGTCAGTTGTGGCTCCAAAAATGATATCATCAACATATACCTGAATAATGAGCAGGTTTCTCCCTCGTTTCTTCATAAAAAGAATGTTGTCAATTTTCCTTCTTGTAAAGCCATTTTCTAGAAGAAACTTTGATAACATTTCATACCAAGCCCGGGGAGCCTTTTTTAGCCCATACAATGCCTTGTCTAGCTTGAATACATGCTCAGGATGCTCGTAACACTGAAATCCAGGAGGCTGCTTGACATAAACTTCTTCTTTCAGGTAGCCATTTAGAAATGCACTTTTGACATCCATTTGGAACAATGTGAACTCCATATGATATGCAAAGGCAATAAGAATCCTAATAGCTTCCATTCGAGCAACTGGAGAAAATGTTTCATCATAATCAATCCCTTCTTCCTGATTGTAGCCTTGAACTACAAGCCTTGCCTTGTTTCTTGTTGTATTTCCAAACTCATCAAGTTTGTTCCTGAATACCTACCTGGTCCCTATGATAGTTCGATCTGCAGGTTGAGGAACCAGGTGCCATACCTTGTTTCTTTCAAATTGATGCAGCTCCTCTTGTATGGCTGTGATCCAGTCTGCATCTTTCAATGCTTCCTTGATATGTTTTAGCTCTATTTAGGAAAGAAAGGCTGAAAAGGCAAGTGAGTTTCTTGCTTTTGATCTGGTTTGAATTCCTGAGTCAAGAGGGGTGATTATGCTATCAAGAGGATGTGAGATTTTGTGCTTCCAATTTGGTGCCTGAATCTCATTGGCAGAGGACCCAGGTATGTCTGACCGAAGTTCTTGGGCGCTTCTTACTTCAGCAAGTGGAGTACCTTGGACTGCATCAACAACTCTATTTTCAGCTTCAGTTGGTGTGATCAGGGGACCAGGTTCCTCTCCAATAGATGGAGGTGTACTCGCATCATCTTCACTGGATTCCTTTACATGACTTATCATGTCTGCTTTTCCATTTGCCATGCCAATAACTTCTCCTAGAATAGATAAAGGTTCTCCATCTTGATTAGCGGGTTAGTCTTTCTCACATGAGAGGTGCGATTCATCAAAGAACATATGTATAATTTTCTCAACACATTGAGTCCTTTTGTTGTATACTTTGTAAGCTTTGCTTTGAGATGAGTATCCCAGAAAGATTCCTTCATCACTTTTGGCATCGAATTTTCCAAGGGCTTCCTTTCCATTGTTGAGAACAAAGCATTTACACCCAAAAGTCCTTAGATGTGTCAGCATGGGCTTCCTTCCATTCAATAGTTCATATGGAGTCTTGTTCAGAAGGGACCTGATCATGCACCTGTTCACCAAGTAGCAAGCAGTGTTGACAGCTTCTGCCCAGAAATTCTTTGTAATCCCACTGTCAATCAACATTGTCCTTGCCATGTCTTCAAGAGTTATATTCTTCCTTTCCACAACACTATTTTGTTGAGGTGTTCTTGGAGCTGAGAAATTGTGAGTGATACCATTTTCAATACAGAACTCATCAAATTTGGCATTGTCAAACTCTGTCCTATGATCAGAACTGATGCAGGCTACCTTATTACCCATATTCACTTGGATCTTTTTGACAAAAGCAACGAACACTTCAAAAGTTTCATCCTTGGTTCTGAGAAACAAGGTCCAGGTGAATTTGGAGTAGTCATCAACTATCACAAAGATGTACTTCCTTCCTTCTCTGCTTGGCACCCTCATAGGTCCACATAGATCCATGTGAAGAAGATCAAGTGGCCTTGAGGTACTGGCTTCCTTTTTGGGCTTGAATGAGGATCTGACTTGTTTGCCTTTTACACATGCATCACACACTTTGTGATCCTTAAAGCTTAACTTGGGCAGACCACGAACCAGGTCCTTCCGGACCAATTTGTTCAGCAACATGAAGCTTGTATGACCCAGCCTCCTATGCCATAATTCAGCATCATCATCAACAGCACTTAGACAATTGAGATCACCATTCTGCAGGGACTCGAAATCCGCAACATAGATATTTTTGTATCTTCTTGCCACTAGCACCACCTCACCAGTCACTAGATTTGTGACTGTACATATTTTTGACACAAATTCCACCTTGTTTCCCTTATCACAGATCTGGGAAACACTTAGCAAGCTATACTTCAACCCGTTCACGTAGTACACATTTTCGATTGTGTGTGAGAGAGACTTCCCAATCCTTCCAACTCCCAGAATGTATCCTTTCTTGTCATTTCCAAAGGATACACTCCCTCCTTGCAGGGCCTTAAGTGAAAGGAAGTCATTTGTACTTTCAGTCATATGCTTTGAGCAACCACTATCCATATACCATTGTAGGCTGCTTCCTTTCATTGTTCCCTGCACAAGAAAATCAGGAGTTAGACTTAGGAACCCAAACGAGTTTGGGTCCCTTGTAATGAGGAAAGGGGTGAATGGGGGATCTTCTGGTCCAAGAAGGCATTATGCATTTTTTATATGAGGGACCAGGTTCTCTATCAGTAGTTACTTTTTCAGCAAAAACTTTGTTTTTCTGCTGTGACTGAAATCTGGCCATACAGTTTTTTTTTAAAGTGCCCAGTGTTACCGTAGTGAGTGCAAAGCCAATTGGCAGGTACATTAATGTACTTGCTATGAGGTTTACCTTTGGAACCCAATCCCCTACATGTTTCCCCCATTATTGGTGTCCATGGCAGTGATAGCATCAGAGGACCAGGTCCACTTGAGTGATTTTTCAAGATCACTCTTCACTCTACCTAGTTCTTCCTGAAGTTGTTTGTTTTTCTCAAGCTCAGCACACAGACTAGACTTTACTGAATTTAACTTAAGCTTAATGTGAACCTCACTTGCAACTTCCTTTCTCTTTTGAGAATTTTCAGGCCTACTCTCTATTTTAAGTTCCCCAATTGTTTCCTTCAAGTCCACTACCACCACTAATAGGTCATCTCTCTCATGCTCAATGTTAGTAACTCTCTCAACTAAGACTTCTTTTTCCTTTCTTACACACTCAAAGGTCTCTTTTAGGTCTACCACAACGACTATTAGATCATCTCTATCATGTTCTATATGTGCATTTTTTTCATCTAAGGCATAATTCTCTTTCTTCAGGTTCTCAATTGTTTCCTTTAAATCAACAACAACGATTACTAAGTCATCTCTAGTTTGTTCTGATTCTCCTAACTCCACATTTAAAGCATCTTTATCATTTATAAGACTGTGATAAGCATCAAAAAACATATTTGCCAAAGACATGAGTTTTTTAGGAGAATAAGATTTTATATTTCTCTGAACATCCAGAAAATTTACCTCATCGTCGTCTTTATCTCCATCGTCATCAGATTGAGCCATCAAGGCAAAGATTGAGTCATACTCAGTTGCTTCACTTTCCACTGCCATCATTGAACTATCACCATGATCATTTTCTTCTTCAGATTTGCTGGAGGAGTCTCCCCATGCAGCAAGAGCTTGCTTTACAACATTGGCAGCGACATTCTTTCTCTTGAAGCGTTTATCAAGAACCAGGTTCCTCTTGGCTGCTCTGTCAAAGTTGTTTTTGTATTGATCTTGCTTTAGGAGAGGGAACTCCTTGATGAAGTGTCCTGGCTTGCCACATTTATGACATAGGTCATAATTGTTTGACTTGCTAGAACTTTCCCTTTTTGGAATACCTCAATTCCTGCGAACCATCTTCTGGAATCTTCCTGTCAAGTAAGCCATATCACCATCCTCACCACTTGAATCATTGTTGTATGTCTTGAGGACCAGGTTATTCTCCCTTTCGTGTTCTCTTCTTTCATTGTCCTTCTTCTTCTTCTTCATTTCATATGTTTTCAGATTGCCAACAAGTTCATCTATGGTCAGTGTCTGCAAGTCCTTCGCATTTATAATGTCGTTCACTTTGCTTTCCCAAGAACTGGGCAGTACACTAAGGATTTTCCTGACAAGGTTGTTTCTTAGAATAGTTTCACCAAGGGAGTGACGCTCATTAATGATGGATGTGAAGCGAGTATGCATATCTTGGATGGATTCATCATCTTTCATCCTGAAGAGCTCGTATTCAGTTGTGAGCATGTCGATCTTGGATTGCTTAACCTGTGTTGTTCCTTCGTGAGCTGTCTGAAGAGCCTCCCAGATTTCTTTTTCTAATTGGCATACCGATATCCTGTTATATTCATCAGGACCAATGCCATAAACAAGAATTTTCTTTGCACAAAGTTCTTTCTATGGCCTTTCAATCAACGTCATTGAATTCCTTCCTTGTCTTGGGAATGGCTACAGCTGGGTCACCGAGATTCTTAGTGGGAACAAAGGGTCCGTCAGAGATAACATCCCATAGCTCTGAATCTTCAGCCATGATGAAGTCATGCATCCTAGTCTTCCACCATCCATAATACTGGCCATTGGTGGCCTGTAGGTAGACTGACCTTCTTCAAAGTTTGGTGGAGCAACCATGACGATCCTTTCTAGGTGTTAGCCTGATAGAAAGAACCTGCTCTAATACCAACTGATAGAATTCTAGGGTCCACCAAATACTATAGAGAACCAGGTTCTCTATCGGTTTCCACAGATTATGCAAACACAACAGAAAGTAAATAACACGGAGAGTTTTTACATGGAAAATTTCTATCTCAACGGGATCAAAAATCACGACCTACCCTTGTAGGATTTTAACTTTACTACTGAGCAAAACGTTTAGATTACAACCTATTATAACCTCAGAATTAACTCTTTAATCCCTCAATAACTTATAACACACCTATTACAAGACACTTTGTAATACCTCTATTACAAAGACTTTACAACTTGACTAACTCTAGCCAAGACACAAACGCGGGGATTTATGATTTACAAGAGTTTCATACACAATGGTTCTAATTAAGCTAAGTAGGAATTACAAGTAAGAACATTAACAAAGTTACAACTCAACTAAGGACATACAATCACTTGATATGGGAAACTGGTCCGTAGCAGTATTGTTCTTTGTTCTTGATGCACTTGAGAATCGTTAACTGGAAGAACAATCACTATTGGATTGCTTGAGTAAATTCTCTAAATGTTCAAGACATGTTTTGCCATTGGTTTAATATTAATATAACATTGATTACATCACTTGAATGATGTAAGCAACTTGGGTACAAGGTCCTTCCCAATGGAGGTGACTGATGCACTTTGATGTACTGTTGCGTGTGCAGTCAGTCACTTTCCAGCTGTTGGAGAGTTGACTTGGTACAATCACCAAGGAAACTGAAGTCCATATGTTCCCCTTGTTGATTCTTTAACTTCTGAAATTCTGACGAACATCTCCAGCTTAAGTCTGGTTATTTCCATGCGCTTGAGAATGTGGACCAGATGTGGATCAGGTTCCTTATCTCGTTCTTGACATTAAGTTTGTTAGATCATCAAAACATAAAATAAGGGCACTTATAACTTATCACTAACTCACATACTCTCCCTCAAAAACTCACATGCACATACACACTCTTTTTCTTGGCCACCAATTAATCCTTATACCTACACCTATATATCTTCCACTCACAGAACACACAAAGAAAAAAAACAGATCTGGAAAAAAGCAAAGAAAGAAAAGAAAAAAGGGATCTGGGAAGCAAAAAACAAAGCTCTTTCTCTCTTCTTCCCCATCATCAATCACTCATTTTCTTCCATTTAAACCATATAAAAAGCTCCTTGAAATGCCACGAAAAAGGTCATACAAAAGCTGCTCAAAAACGACCTCCAAAACAGTTATGTTTCCCAGCGAAATCAACCGAAAAAACAGCTTCCAAACCTTCATAAGCAGCTGCTCAAACAGCCACGAAACCAACTCCCTAATCTCAAAAGTGTCCATTGATCTCTGATTCAGTAAGGACGGTCGGGTTACGAGTTCCGTTTGAGGCTGTCAAGTTCGGCGCAGTTCCGATCAGAGGTTTTGCTCATGTTCTAGTTTGGACGTCGTCTTCTTCATTGTAATACTGGTCGATATGTTAATCTATTGAAGTTGCCGTTCATTTAAAAGGTCACACTTTAAACTTTGTTCTTCTTCCGATCTCCAAATTTTGTGTCATGAATGTTAGTATTATTTGTTTGATTTCTCTTATTTCTGTCTTATGGCGTATGTGATGATATTTTGAGCTTTTCTATGGGGATATTTCTTGCCTCCCTCCCTCTGGACTGAATAGATAAATTTTGATGTTCCCTTATGTACATTTTAAACCTTGAATGGATAAGTTTATTTTCATTAGTCATGACATGGATTTTGATTTTTTCTGACTGATATGCTTATGTTGTTTATTTTTGTGGCAGCGCGTTAAAATAATCATCTAATACAAGTTATTGAATTAGTTAATTTAGCTTAGGGAGTTTGGAAGGTTGGTTTAATTGCGCTTGGGTTATGCCTCGTCGATCTCTTGCTCTGCTTTATGCTAAGTTTTACTCCATTTAACTTATTTCATTTCTGCAAATATTTGGTCAATGAGCTACGGGGTTTGATTTAAAATGAATTGAAAATGAGTCATCGGCAATAGAGTCGGGCTGAATTGTTTTACATGGAAAGAGATTTTCTTTTAGTTTAAATTTTCTTAGATATTTAATGGGCCGTAAATGAAAACTGACGGGTCATAGAGTAGTGATTTTAAAAAGAATAATTAACCCAAATAACCGCCCACTAAATTACTTAAACTAAAAATAGTCAGTGAATGTATAATATATGCATAATTTGTGTATTATATGTGTATAAATATGTATAATCAATGTATAATGTATGTAGATGGCTAGAAAAAGTAAATAATGAATATGATCGACTATTTGTGTAAAATCTCTTTTAAAAATGGAAAATGTCGGACTTTAAAGCTTAAAGTATTTGTTAGAATTAATTTGGGCCAAAAATTAAATCCTGTGAAGCCCAATAACATCACAATCATGCACCCCTTCTCCACAAATTTATTCCATAACTCATCAGCCTCACAATAATCTCAAAATATTAGGAAATACTTGAACACTCGTAGTTTGCTTTAGGTGCATTTATAATAAATCATCGTGACTATGGGTACGGTTCCCGTGGCATGGTCACGATACATAAATCTCAACTCGAGTGTGCGTTTCATGCGACTTGACCATAACTTCAAATAATAATAATGAACATGTTGTGAATCGCGGGTGCATTTTACGTGGCACGATTTGCAATGTGTACCCAGCCGACAAGTGTACGACATTGTAACTTGTTCAAGAAATAACTCCATAGATACTAAAAAGCAGTTTAAATACATAATTAAAAGCGGTCAAAGGTAAAATGCACAATAGGTTTAAAACATGTAATAAATCAGATAATTAGGCCAATTATTAATAGTTAAGCGACCGTGCTAAAATCACGGAACTCGGGAGTGCCTCATACCTTCTCCCAGGTTAACAGAATTCCTTTTTCGGTCTTCTGTGTTCGCGGACCACAAATAGAATCAATTTCCTCAATTTGGGATTTTAAAATAAACCGGTGATTTGGGACACCATAATAATTATCCCAAGTGGTGACTCTCATTAAATAAATAATCTCATTTCGAATAATGTCACTTTAATTGGAAAAACTCTTATGTCTCATCCCTCGGGTAAAAGGAGGTGTGACACCACTTTATGTAACAACCGATTTGGTGTGGTCGCGTCGTTACCTTGTCTTTTTCTCTCATCTATCCCTTCATTTCTATTCAATAATTTTATTTTATCCCTTTACCCTATCTTTTTATATAATAATTCTATCCCATACCATAATTTTTCTTTTTAATATAGCAAGTTTATTCTTCATATTGCTAGTGCGTGATATTATAAAATGACGGCAAACAATACAATCTATCCATATATTATATTCATCAAACGATACAGTACAATATAATATAATATAATATAATACGATACATTATGAAACAATATGTATCAACCATCCAAACAAGCTGTAAGGGACGGGGAAAAAGAGGAGGAAATAAGAAAAGAAAATGATTTCCTTGCCTAAATCCAAAATTATTTGAGGAACATTTAATGAAAAGTGTCGCAATTTCTTTTGTAATATCATATCTAAAACCTATTTGTAAGTTCTAACCAACACTTTTGCCAATAAATAAGAGGAACGATTCATTTTTTATTTTGTCCTGGCTTAAAGTGCGAATTTAAAAGCATTTATGGTTGTTTTCGTTGTGTAAAAAATCAAATCAAGTAACAAAATATTCATTAGTTTGCAAAAATAATACATACAGATATTTGCGATCTGTTTTGAAACCTTAGCAAAAGGAAGATATATGAAGATGTCAATTTCATTTTTAGCACGAGCAAGAAGTTAGTGGTTGGCATTTTTAATTTAAAGCGGTGATATGGACAATTACTTTAAGACACCCATTTTAACTAATTAATGCTTACTC